TCTTGGCCGTGGATGGGGACACAACGCAGCTCGAATACACTGTGCAGTATGTCACCCATGAAGTGTCGTCCAAGGCTTACCCATGTGATTTCCACCATGTCGTGGTCGAGCCTGTTTATGACCCGAACAAGGACATGTTCTTCAAGTTGACTCCGAAGAAAAGGCGCCAGGTCTACTCCTTCCTTTACGGCGAACAACCAAGGTTGAGATTTGACCCGCAGTACGTGGTGCAGAAGGAAGTCGCCATTGCGGTCCTCCAGGGCTACCACGGAGCGAGTCGGGCCGGCGCTGTGAGCTTCATTAAGAGGCTGGAATATGTCTTTTTTAATGAGGATGTTGTCGATCCGGCCGACTTCACTTTGGATAAGTACAAGCTGGCATTCGGTGAGGAGGACGACTTCAATATCGAGACTGAGCAGGAGGAGAGCGTTGAGGACGACCTCTTCGATTTGGACGGAGAATTGGTCATCTTCAACGCCCAAATTTCCGAGTCGCCATCAGTATGCAAACCGGGGACACCTCTCGCTACACCTACCTCGGGCGGTCCCACGCCCGTATCCTCCTCAACGCCTGTGAAGAGGGGTGGGTTGTCCCGTCTAAGGAGTTCGCCAGGGGAGCCTATTCGTCTCACGCCGCAGCCCGAACGTCTTCGACCTGGCCATCCAGTTCCTCCGGACCATCCGCATCTCAAGGCTCCTGCGACTCCCTTCCACATGGGCGACAAACATACCTTCTCCACAGCCGAAGATTGGGGCCATGATATCGTGTGGCACCCGGACCATTTCCAGCCAGTCCTACTCGACGGCGAATGGGCAGTGGCTGTGAGGGACGTAAGTGGAGGGTGGATATATGATGATCGTTGGGACCTCGAGACATTCAAATCTCGCGCCTACGAGGCGGTATTCGAGAGATTAAGTGAGGTCAATCGACGAAATAAGGACGACCCTGCTCTTCGCSAATACRGGGACACGYTGTTCGAGTTCTTGCAGTCAAATAAATGGYTGGAAGTGTCCTCCGCGTTCTACGCCCTTCCGTCAAGCCCGTCAATTAAGCAAGTGAGTTGGGAGTTGCCTGGGGTCACCCCGCCGGCAGGAGTTGTGAAGCGCAAGTCTCGCGGAAAGGACGGCGACGGGGATGGTGAAGGCGGCGGGCAACGAGGTACCGGAGGTGGAAGTGAACAGCGTTCGATGAAACAGCGGTCTCCGGGGCATGCAGGCGGCGGAGAGGGGGAAAAGGGCAGCCGGGAGAAGAAAAAGCCTCGCAGCGGAGAGAAGACAAAGCATCACAAAGGAGACGGGCAGGGGGCCGATGTCGACCGCGACGAGGACGGTGGGGTTCTGGCGGTAACAGGCAGCACCTCAATGGAGACGGGGAACGACTTGAGGCCTGGGTGTATTACGCGGCCTGGCGAGCAGGACCCTGTGATTAGCTCCACCAGCGAAACACAGTTTGTCGATGCGGTTGGCGGGGCGGGTGTCGCAAAGCATGAAACATGTTTCGCTCAGCTCCAAAAACGGTTGGCGGATTGTCTCGGATCAATCCGAACCTCGGAGACGACCTCATTGTCCGGAACTCAATGCCTTCCAGGAAGCGAGACGACAACATACCACGGGTCCGGCAGCGACAAGCTGGAACCGTGTTCCGTTTCGCCTCAAAAGGAATATGGGATTAATCCGAACCGCGAAGGCCGTGCCATTGAGGGAGCACGACTGTCTACAGAACTCGAACGGGTGGTCCGGGTTTCCGAAAACCCTGGCTACGGAATTCGGATTTATCCGAACCAGGAAGCCGTGTCTGCCATGACAGACGATCAGTGTCAGGATGCAGTAATGCTGTGCGTGGAAGCCCACAAGGAGCTGCAGGCGGACTGTCGGACTGAGGGTGAGTTGGCAACCAGTTCCAATGTCGAGCCCAACAGACTCGGAGCCGAGTTAGCAGTCGTAAGCGACTCCCCGGTGAAAGCGGTCATGTCGGCGTCATTGGAAACTGCGGGGRCTCRGATGAATCYGAACCAGGGCCCTGTGAACATCTCCCTCCCTGATGCATCTTTGGAGACGACCGTGATTCGGATTCATCCGAGGCACACGGACGAAGGACTTCAACTGGCAGGCGTTTAGGGTTGTCGACTACTGACGACTTTGGACAAGGACAATTCCGCCGACGACCGGATTGATCCGACACTCAAGGACGTCGGGATGGAGCTACCAGTTCAGCCGGGATACGACGATACCTTGTACTCCGCCCTTCACAACGAGGCGACGGGGGAGGACGATCTGAAGAAGGCCTCTGACGCTGTTGGAGATAGATTTATCTATTTGAGTGACGATGACAAAGACACAGCGTACGGGGACAAGAAGTTAAGGGGGGGAGAGGTGTTGTTGGACATCCATGGGACATTGAGCCCAACACAATACGACACGGTGGCAATGGAGAAAACACAACCTGTCGATGTTGTGGACGTCGACGATCTTTGTCCGGAGACGAATATACCGTCTACAGTCATCGACGCCGACATCTCGAGCCTGTCAAGTTTTCCTGTGGGTTTGGAGCACGTCGTCGCCTCGTCGACGAGCGCAGGGGTGCCAATCGTGATGGGATTGCCGTCGGTGGGCTCTGGTGAAGTGGTAGCTAGGCCTGGTAAGCACTGACTTTCTCTGCTTTCTTCCCGCTCGTCAGCCCGTTCGTGAAGTGTTGTTTGCTTCGTCGATTTCGGGGAGGTGTATAGACGGCCGCCAACTGGATTGTTACGATGTGCTTCGTGAGGTGCTGTTTGCTTGGTTGCTCTTGCGAACTTGTGTTGTTGATCTCCTGCTGAACTGTCTGGGTGGCTATTTCTTGTACAGGTCGACGAACTCGTGGACAAACACCCATGTCGCAGGAGCCGCCTGCCCTCGCCGGGTTGTCAGTCCTGGTTGCGGGAGGCACTGGTAGTCGCAATGTCACTGATGCGTTTCCTGGGGACACTAAGCCTCGAGGCCCTCCCAGAAGGGTAGTCGTGCCCGTATTGGGCTCCCGCGCAAGACTCGTTGCAGAGGCAGCGGGTGTTGCCGAAAAAGACTGCAAGGAATTCCTTCTCGAGGCTTGCAGGGATATAAAGGACAGTGCTAGTTTAGAATCAACTGTGTGTAGAAGGTCCAGAAGTAGGGGTGACGTT